CGCCAAGGCTCCGTGCCCGTGGGCCCGGCCCGGGCTGGGCTGGGCCAGTGCCGTCGGGTCTCGGCGCATCAGCACCGGGCCTCTCTTGGGGCGGCATGTGCAACCAGGAAAATGCAAATCCCCAACGGCCAGCAGCAGGTTTCTTCTTCGTCTGCCAAGTGATGCAAGCCTCTCCTACTGGCTCAAGGCAGAGGGAAGGGGTCACACGGGTTTCTGAGTTTTCTGGAGAGCTTAATATTTCGGGTTAAAGTACCTGAGGGAATCCCACCACATTTCTGCCACACAATTTTTTATCCCAATAAGCAGTTGCGTGAGAAACAAGCACCACTGTGACAAGTCTGTGATTGCAAAACGCTTCAGTGAAAATATTCAATGTGTTAAAAGCCAAAAAAATAATGTAGCCTGCGCAAAGTTTTTGAATTTTAAGCAATACATTGCAACATAAATTAATTTCTCTCTATACAGGACGAAAGCTCATGTCAGCATGATTCTGATTTTCCTGGCAGCAAGGTAGATCAATATAACACCGAGCAGGACAGGCAAAGAAAGAGGACTAAAAGTGACACATTACTCTTACTAACGCTCTTTCCCCGTCAGTGTTTGCATTGATTAAATCCATGTGAAGCAAATCAAATTGCCATGCAGCTTCTTGTAAGTGGAACATAGTCGCTACTTTTTTTTTTTCCTCTGTGTTTAATTGTACTGACCATGTTTTTTTCTACAGCCAAGCAGAAGTGACTTGGAATAGCAAGACTTGCACACTCCCTAGAACACGTTTTCTGAACATAGGAAATAAATAAGAAATGCATTTAATGAATAATACCTTTGACATTAGGATAATGTGGCTATAATAAATGCCTTTTGTACCTGATTAAGTGTCAAAGGTTGGAACTTTCAAAGCCATTGTTAAAGCAGGTGGCACTGCTATGCACAATCTTCCACATTCGCTCTCCTATCACTACAGAAAAGGTTCAGTCTCCCGAAGCCATGCTGTGTTGTGGTTACTTTCTTTGTCATGCCAAGTTCTATATAACAGCAGTTGTGTCTGTAAGTACCGGAAGATTTTTCTCTGATTAAATAATTCTTGAAGGAAAAGATTGCTTCCTGGAGACCAGAGCCTTTGCACAGAAATGAAGTTCCTAAAGAGTCTCTGCCTTGCATGTTGTTTGACCACTTCTGAGCAAGGACTGATGCTTGCCTCTAAACAGAACAAATTATACTCAGGTTATAACTGCATTTCACAGCCTTGCGCAGCCACTCCCTGATGGTCATCACAAGGACAACACCAGCATCAGAACATGAGTGATGTTAGAGGACACAGCTACGCCATTTACTGCATACAACCCTCTTAACATTACACGCAACGCCTCTCTCCAAAGGAAAAAAGAATACACATCCTTTCCGCCTCTTACCCACAGTGGGTGGAGGTCTGCATGGTAAAAACAAACAAAAAGAATCTCTGCAGTTAGGAGACAATCCATAAAATACAGCTTGAGCATGTGGCTTACTCCCCGTTCTGTGAAGCACTCATTGCAGGAGTGATCTCAACTTCTACTGATAGCAACGGGATCTCAGTGCGCTTGCCACATCTCAGGAGCAGACTATTCAACGGGGAAGGATTTACCTTCACCTGAGGCTGCACAGTGAGCACAGGCTACGTTTCATGTATAACTTTTACATTGGTGTGCAAATAAAAAGTAGGCACTTGAAGATCTTACGTTTGGGTTGCTAAGCACTTGGAACTCAGCACGTGCACCTGAGGGCTCTGCCGCTTCTCTTCTATATATTTAAGTGCCACGCGCACACAGTCATCTGCAGTGCTGCCCTGTGGGGTAGAAGTATGACTTCGGAGTGCTGATGTTGTTCTGTATACTTTGTGAATGTTTATTGAGTATGCTTGAGCAGGTAAGCAGTAGATTTATCTAACGAATTATAGAAGAACTATATGGTGTTCTGAAATCCCACTGAGCTACCTAGGGTTTCATGAACGGCTCAGTGGATAAGTACTTCACGTTTCTGGCACCCAAGGGCATGGTTGCACAGTCCCTTCGGAAACAGGCGCAGAAATTGAATAAAACATTGTTCCACTGCCTAAGTGGTTATTTAAGCTGCGCTGGGTGACTTGGCATTGAAGTTGACTAGGGGCAGTCACATAACTGTTTAACGTGGCTGAGGGCAGGGAGCAGAAAGCTGAGCTGTTACTGGACTGCTAAGGATTCTGCAAAATTGTGTTTGAATTGCACCTCTATACAATACTTTTCTTCATGATTTTTGTAGTATTTAACAAAAAAAAACTTGTTTTCAGTAAGTCTGAATCAGTTCAGTGCTCTAGAATATGGAAGGAGTTGCATTCACTATCACAGAAACAAAATCAAGACAATCAGTCCTCACCACAGCTCTCTTCTACTTCAGTCTTTTAAGTCTGAATCTAATACTAACGCATGACAAGGCTCTGCTTCAGCACAAGGCTCTGATGGATGGCCCCTTTCATATATATGGCTCCCAACAGATTGCCAGACATGCACAAGGGACTTGTTGCATGGACCTACTTGCCTTAAAATCCATCAACCGGTCTTTGCAAAACTCACTACTCTACTAGGAGGCTTACTGCATGACTTCCTTAGAGCAACAGATATCTTCATTTTTGTGTCACCTGGAACACCTGGTTCACAAGTACAACAAAAAAATTATTAGGTACAGGTGCATTTATTTATCCCTTTCCTTTTGTGCTAACACAGTCCTTTAATTTCAGGGTGCGTTCACACCTGATTTAATGGAGCAGTCAGATTCTCTGCAAGTGTGAGTAAGGGGTGGGGGAAGAGGCTGCTCCCCATCAGGACACCTGTGAGTCTGTTCCATTGCTTAGAACAGAGTCTCTGCACCTTCTTATTCTAGTTGCTTTTGTGAAACTCAAATATTCAAGCAGATAGACTCAAAGGCAGTGTGGCAGGTAAGGAGCATACGTCTTCTTTCTGGCCTAAAGATCCTGGTTCAGTGTTTCCTGGGGGCAAAAAGAAAAATAGTCTGAATTATATATAGAAGCAGCCAATTTTGGAAGGAAAGAAAAAGGAGAGGCTTAAAAAAACCAAATTCTGAAAAATGTGCTTCTTACAGTGTTTACGGGCTTTGCTTGTTCTGCTTCTCAATAAGACATCTTTCATTTGAAATCATTCAGGAAAGGCTCAGAAAAACACTTTTTATGAGTGCTGAACATCTGGCTAAAGCAGGGCTGGCAGCCATCTTTCCTTCATTGGAAAAGAGAGGTTTGTAGATGAAATGGCAACACCGAGCAAGACCCTAATGCACTAGTACAATAAGAATAGGAAGGCCACAAAGCAGTGTGTGATATTCTGAGCCACTCTGACTGATGAGTCATCCACAGGGTGGGCTCACAGGACTCCAGCCAGAAACACAGCAGCAACACACCCAGCTTTATCCTGCAACCAGAGGAAAAACTACTTGGCCTCAGTACTGCCTGCTTGAAATGTCAGGATAAGACCCCAAGTGAACCAGATATCAGAAGGACTTTTGCCTATACTTATCAATTGGAAACATACTGTTATAGCAGCTACCTCCTAAAATCCATGTTATAAATATGATTAAGCCAGTAAAGCCTGTTCACGATGACCTCTAGTCTGCATTGGGTTTGGAATTGCTTTTGAAACTTATTCCTGCAAACAGGTAAGTCTTTTCACCTGCTGAGATTATGCAGCAGCAGGTGGGAGCACGCAGGCCTATAAGAAAGCATTTGCAGGCAGCTTTAACCTTTTAGAGAGCTCCTTTGCACAAGGACAGAGGCTGCCACCTACCAACAGCCACGGGGTGATGCATCATGTTGCCAAAGCAAAACTTTTTGCTTTGGGTTAGGTGAAAATTTTTATGCCCTCCTGATTTCTCCCCCTGTTTCCAAACCTTTTGTGCAGTCATCCATTTCATCAAACCAAAGGACAAATGACTGTTACAGCAATTTAAGCATATGGAATAAAATAAACTTCTAGAAGATAAGCAATTTTATTTTTTAAAGAAGCAAAAGTACGCCTCTGTCATCAGCATAGAATCAGACATTCAATGACCCAAAGCAGCAGGAGATCTGGTTTGGGATTTGCTTATTCCATTTATCAAGCTTAGAGAGAAGTTACTGTTGTTACTTTGTCGTGTTAATGATGATTTTTCAAAAAGCTTTTTAAGAACTAGCTCTTACAAAACAATAATGGTAACAATACATGACTATTTTTTTAATCAACGGATCTCAAATTTAATTATTCCCAGATAGGGGAAAAGAGGCATAAAGTGGCAGCGAGCAGCAAGATGGCATAGCCAAAAATAAAATCCACATCTTCTATTTTGCATTCCGCTGCTCTGCGCCTTGTAATGATATGAACAACATTCTGTCCTAAAGCCTGCTGAAATCCCTGGAAAGTCTCCCATTGACTTCAGATGTCTTTCAATCAGGTGTGAAGGCTCTAGTCCCTCAACTGCTAGCATGTCCATGCACTGCTGAGCTCACACTGCACCAGCACGAACCAGCAGTCCGTCACTGCGGGATGAGGTATAAGGCTCAGGTCTGTCTGGCCAGCAAAGGCCTGTGCTTTCCCCGGTTATCTTTTTTATCATGTAATCTCAGTAACATTGTGTATTCTGCTGTCAAAAGTGTACAGTGAGAGAGAAAAGCAGAAAGCTAACAAATACTGAGAAAGATGGGCATGTAGTACCGCTTGGAAGATTTATTTTGAACTTCAGATGGCATGAAGAATCAGGCTTAACAGCTGCTCCAGCCTGTGCCAGAATCAGAGCTGAGCAAAAAGAACAACTCTTTTGCCAGGTGTACTTTGGCAGTGACAAGGTCCATGTTCAAGTTCTAGGGACACAAAGCAAAAAGCAAATTGGACAATAACCCCCCTGTTAAATGGCAGTAGTTCAAGCCCTTGCCCAGAAGTCTGGGAAACTGAATTATGCCATCCTCATAACAAAGCATGAGCAATATTTCCCCACTTGCAAGCCAAGTGTTTAAACAAAGAGTTTTAAACAAATATAACTTTCCAGTGCGGGGAGGACAGACATCACTTCAGAATATACCAACTTGGAAATTGTGGATAGTCAACCATGGCTGAGACAACCATCCTCAGGAAATCCTAGCAATAGCCCTTTTTTGCCACTACAATACAGCTCCCACATCCGAGGGAAAGGAACTGCTATGCTCCAGTCATGTCAGGTCCCTACCTCCCAATTTGCTACCCAACCTTAGAGGAGTCAGATGTTGGGTGAGTTTATCTCCTGATTCAAAGGGATGTGCCACTTCAGTAGACATGAACACAGAGGTGCCATTCTGTGCTGCTGAGAATCAACGCAAGTCATGGCTGATGGTTCTTTGCTACTCTTCACCATCAGGCATGGCTCTACACGTGTCCCTTACTCAGCTCCGCTGCTCACTGCTCTGCTGTCAGCCCTGAGAGCATCTCGGCAGTGCCACTGAAAAAATCACTGAATTTTACTGCAGACGCATCCCTGAACAATGGCTCCTTCCCTCTCAGCGTGCCACCCTTCCTTAGGACTCCCAGGGCTGCAGGCTACCGCATGGGCTGTGGAATAGCTTGCCCACAGTGGATCTGACCTATTTTCAAACATTCAAATCGTATACTTGCTTCCGCTTTCAGAATTTGAGGTTTTTTTAAGCAAGAACACCCTTAACTTTTAGATAGCAGACATGCAAATACGCTGAGTAGACCAGCCAGCCAGCTCCCAGCTTGGCCACAGTGACCGTCCCATCAGAGTCCCTGTCCATCTGGCACTTTCAAGCAGCCCTTGCTCGTTCACAGGAGTCAGAACTGAACTGTCTCTTACACCTTCAGGTTTCCCTTAACAAAGTGCTAATGGGAAGAAAGGAACAGCTAAGATTCATTAACTCAAAGTATCCTAGTTTAGTGACCAATTGCTGCATGCGCACACACATACGCACACACACCCCTTGTCAAAGGATATTAAGCTTGAAGGGAACACCTTCAACATCAAAAGCAATACTGATGAATGCTTGAAGTTAAGGAAACCAGCGGGTGCAGGAAGCTGTTAGACTACTACCTTCGAGGACCCCAAGCTGGGGTACACATATCCTTAGGTATGCATGTTTTCCTTCCCCCTTTTCTCATTTTCCTTCCCCCTTTTCTCACCCTGACTACAGGAACAGTTCCTCTCCCGCACTCTCGTGAGGTCACCTCTGTCTTCACCACAGCTGCCTAGCTATCTCGGGGCACATGTGAGTAGATACATCATCCTGGTTGCTCTACTGGGCTCTTCAGTTTCGGAGAAAATTATCCAAGCCACATTTTCAGCTGTCATTGGCTATATTTGTATTGATAAGTTCAGGAGTGCTATGGAAAGACACCAAGCACTGGAACTGGTCTGTCTACAGTGTTAAATGGTTAAAAAGGTCCCCAGTGTGCTTTTGGCCTACACCAGCTAACCCTGCCCCAAACAGTTCCTGGACGTACTAGAGAGTTAATATTGGCTGGGGACCAACCTCAGCAGGCAATTTGTGTGCAACCACTCTGTTTTAGAGGCTCAGAGAGTTTACTAGTACAGAAGCGACTGGACCTTGCCAGCGACGTGAGCACCAGGAACAAGCTCACTAATTTGTTTGGTACTAAAGATGTAGCATCCACCAAGACTTTAAGAGCTGGGGGATATGGTTCTCTTTGCACTAGTCCCCTTTGGCCTTGCCTCTGAAAGCAGAGCTCATACTGCCAGCAGAGCCAGACTTCTCAGGCGTTCATGGGGTGGGATCTCCCCTTTGTAAAGGCTGTGGATATTAATAAAAAGGAAAACAGAAACAAAGCTGGGTTCAACTTGATTTGACTACTTAAGCAAAGAAACATGCAAAAAGAAGCAGAGAAGAGGAAAATGGATTACAGAGCGTTTGATTTCCATACTCTTGGGTTGTGCGCACCGCTTGTGCTGTTCCAAAGGACGTCACCTACAAGCGGGAAGCGAGCTGGTGCCTGTACTGGCAAAGGTGGTCTCTGCTGCTGCCATTGTCAGGTATTCAACAAAAATAGCTTGAGAAAACCCTATACTGATCAAGCGACTCAGTTACAGTAGCTCCTTTAGCTTGAGGTGTAGGGGCTAGGCATCAACAGCAGGCTGGCGCCTCCAGCTTCAGGGAAACAGAAAGGTTCATGCGCGTGAGGTACGGTCCCTACCACAACCTGTACACCCGCTTGGCCTGGACGGAGATTGCGGGGCCCGTGACGGTTTTTTTAATGACTCTCCTACCTCCCCAAGCGCTTGTACATGCTGTAATGCCTCTTCCTAGGGCTGCACCTGTCCAGTTCCCCGGTGGCAGCCTGCGCGGAAGCAGACGGCCCGTCAGGACGCAGGCAGGTGTAGCCTGACGCAGCGCTGCCCGTTAGCGGCGGCTACTGCCGGCCTGGGCAACCAAGCAAGGGCTTCGGCTTGCGTCAGCTGGCAGCCGAAAGGCGCTGAGCAGGCACACCGCTGCTGTGCTGTAATGGTGTAATTATGATTGAACAGTCATCGTTTCACCGAGTTCAATAAAGGCAGAGTCAGCTGCGTGTTGCCAAAGAAAAGTTGGTACCTGCAAGGTTTCTTAGCACGAACCATCCTTCCCCCCGCCCAGTTTTGGTCTGTGTCGGTATCTACCGAAAACCCTCCCTCTAACCAGCCCCATTTCCCCCACCCTCCTCAGCGCGGCCGCCCGCCCTTCCCCTTCCCGTGCCCGCGGGGCCGGCTCCGCCT